ATTTCTTGTTTTAAATTAAGGCTCTACATCTGAAGGGTTTCCTTTTCTTTGGATTCTAGCCAACCTATCAGACTTTTAATTAATTTTTCGTTTTGTGTAGTTTATCCGTAATCGATGCTTTTCTTAATTATGAAATAATATGCTCTGGTAGATAAGAAAAAAAAATTGCGGGAAGTTTAATTTGTCAGAACTCTTTTATACATGTATGTGTATTCACATTGTGCTGGCAATTTTTGAGCCTTTTGCATTGATAATAGTACTTAAGACGTAGTTTTTTAAACGAAGAACGATCAACCGCTGGTTGAAGGGTTTTTTTAATAGGGAAAAATTGGAAATGTACAAAATTCATCACTTGGTAATTTCATAAAGTTATTTTTCACTAAGCCCCTAAATTATCTGAGGCATAACTACAGTTATACATTCGCAGATTTGTATTTTTTGTAACTTTCGAATATTCCTTTTTGCCCAAACTGCCAATTTGTCGAACCACAAAGTCGCTTTAATCTGCGCACATGACTACGCGGCTCATTCGTTCATGTAATACCAATATATAAACGGATGCATTAATGTTGTAATATAACGCTATTATTGACTCCGGAATAAAGCTCATAATTTATTGTTATGTGATATTGATCTCAGTGCAATCGGATAGTGAAGTCGATGCACAGAATAGAGTGCACACTGGATCCTTTACGGCACATTTATAAAAGGAACTGTTATCTTCACAACAATCTTATTATTTCCACCACGCTGTAACTCTTACTAAAATTTGCAGGCGCACCACACCACACAAAAATTACCACACACACATCACTATCGCTCGGTAGTAAAAGATACACTCGTTAGGCATGATATCTTGCGCTATAAAGCATGTTTTTAAAAAGGAACTAAGGATAACGATAATTAAAATAAGTGCACGGGTTTGTCCGATACGGACGTCAAGCTCTGGAATATGAGTAATGAGCTGCTGACAATGAGCACGAACCAGGTTCTGACTGACATTGTGTCTGATTCACATTCTGTGCATAGTCATCAACTGTGCTTTGCTTGGCATCATGAGCTAGCGGATCATCGATCCGTCCAATCGCGGTCAGCTCAGCTGTGCTCAGTTCTATAGATCATAGCTTACGCGGGTTGCGCTTTAACGTCGCTTACTACCTTGTCCATAAAAACACATTTTCTTTTAGTAAACATTGAGCAGTACTCGCGTAAGCGGCGTGTGAATCCGGTGTCTGTCAATCGAGTCCTCTCTCAGCTAAGGGGACACTTCAAGCGTCTCCAGCCAGTCCGTCATCATCCACTTGGTGTTTAGAAAAAACACCACAACGAACTTTTGCAATCCAGTCCTAATACGACTGACCCGACGATCGATCAGCTTCATCGACAATACAGGGCTGCAGATGCTGCTACGTTAATCCGCGCGTTTGTTCCAATTTTTTTAATCGTCCTGACGTTGCCACCACGATACTAACAGCAATCTGTCCGCCGTGCATTGCGTCCTTCACGTCCTGTCCAGAGCCATGTTGAAAAATCACTAGTGCACGCTGTTCGGCTGCAAAATTGATCTGCCCACCACCTAAATTACACGTCAGCGATGTCGTCTGGCAAAACGCTTGCACGATCGCATGTACATGGCAGGCAAGATCTCAACTAGGTACAACAATAAGTGCACGCACACGACATAAAACACGCGAGATAAGTTGCTGTACAATTGATACGACGTACGTGAGCGTCTTGCAACTGCCAGTAGGTGCCGATATACAGATATCCTTCACGCGGTCATATGTGCTGGTCAAGGCCTTAATAATCGCCACAGCTTGCACAGAAAAGAAGGAGTGGATAACCATCATCAATAAGGTGTTGCAGACGGCTGGTGCCAGGTCCCGTTGAGCAGAGAGTTCGGCTGGGAAAGTCTATCACTATTTGTGATGTGTGTGGTAGTCGCGTGTGATGTGGTGCGCCTGTAAGCTCATAAAAAGGGTTACGGTGCGGTAGAAATAGTAAAAAAAGTTTGGTGGAAATTAAAATTTCCCATGGAAAGCTTATTTTACCAAGATTTATCTTCTAAATTTTATGCATGTCAGGCACAACACCTTCTCTCATACATGGATGAGGTTGCAATAAGCGTGTCCAATAAATTTTGTGCAATTCTAGTCATCACTAAGGTGCTGTCAGTCGTGTAATCACGCTGGACACAACGCGTGAAAATGATTTCTAAACCGCACAACGCTAAAGGATTCATGCTAAAAAGACGACAAAAATGGATAAAACTTACGGCATCGCATGAACGATAAGTAGTTGTGATTTTTTGATATAAGAAATTGACAAGATACGATAGATGCGACTGAGGTACGTAAAACACAAGTTCTTGCAGACGCGTCTGTTATATAGATGCAGCGAGTAAGAGTTTCCCGAAGTGGCCTACGTTCGAGTAATTTGCGCCCAAGTCAATGTACTTGCCGTAAACGGAACAGCAAGGCATAATCGATCGAGAGATTCCCGGTAACAATATGAGTTTGGTTGTAATTACTCCTGCATAAAAATGGAACATAGAAGTCACATTACAATGCAGCATGAAATACCTTAAACTCTCATCAGATTTAGCGTGCGTCGTATTTTTATAAAACGCCGAAATGACGCTCTTGCAAATTTTGACTTGAAGCCGTACATCTCTCTACATTCTTTTGGTGGAATCCCACTGATAAGCATTAACGATACGTGAGATGTATTGCATCGATAGAGGGATTGATTCCACTATCAGCTGTTACTAAACTTCGTTTGGTCATAATTTTATGCAACCGAATTTGGTTAGCTCAAGAACCGCCGATCTCCTGACATCGTTTCCGACGATCTAGCCTCCGCAAGTGATGCTTAATGCAGAAGTTGTGATTCATTGCATGTGTGAGAGATAATCGAATCAACAAATAACAATCGCCCTCTGCATCATTCATACAAATCATTTCGTAAGTATTTGCGATGAATACATGACCGCTGCAATTTTCAAAAGCCGGGGCACGACTCTAGCGTTTAGTAATCAGCCCTTTTAGTTGTTAAGTTCGATACCAACACAAAAATGAGTGGTGGCGACAGCTCCACAGGAGCGAGTCGCCTTCCTCTCCCGCCGGATCCCCTGGACGGTTCTCCTTCTCTGCAGGATGTAGCCGTCTCAACAAGTCCCAAGCCAGCTCCAGAACCAGCTTAATCCGAGGAGGACATGACTCGTCCCCAAAGACAGTGACATGAACATGGACGAAACCAGCGATGGATCGACTGAATCTACTCGTTCCCGTGATCTGACCGCGGCCGGCATGTCCACTGAAGTATTGACAAAAGAGGGAGCTGGACGGCTGCGGGAGATTGGTGTTGCTCACGCTACTGCTATAGTAGCCGAAGCTACGGTCGAGCAGAGGCTTTTCACATTGCAAGAAAAGATAATCCGCTTCACGATGACTCCTTGCTTCGACCGAGGACCTCGGATGAACGGACCGTGTAACGGGGCACCCTGAAGCTTGTACTGGTGACAGTACAAGCTACTTATTCTGATGACAGAATAAGGCGGTGCCTCGTAACTTCACGTACACTCGTACGTGCAGAGGAAGACGGTAAGAAGAAGCGAGTACTTGGTTAGAGTAAAAGTAGAACTGTATTTATAATAGTTAATGTCTGCAATAAATCACTATTTATCTTCATCTAACTATGTCTAAATACAAATGTGTAAATCAGTTATCTGCTCACCACTCATTGCGTGCGTCTGTCGTGGCGCGTCTTCGTTGGTTGATATAATGGCCTATATCAACCAATTAGGAACTACTTGGAAGTGCTACAGAATATTGTCCTTATGACAATATTCTGAGAATATAACTCTTATAGTTATATTCTATTAACAATTTCTTATAAATTGTTATGTAACGATTCACCCCGTTACATCACCCCCTTAACCATCAGTCACTTTAGTGACTGATTGACTAAATGGATACTCGTCCCAAATCATTTGGGACGGGGTTTGCACTTGTTGGTCCGCGTCCACTTTCCAACATCTCATCGCATGGTAAACAAGCCCATGCGATGCGCGAGCAAGGCCGCCGAGAGCGCGTCTGCACGTCTCTGTGCGGACGCCGAAGCAGAAACTACAGCAACTGATATCCCATCGGTTGCTGAATCGACTCAGCCTGTATCACCTGGTGATGCAGGCGCTGGTCATGAAGACACTCGTGTCTTCACAGAGTACGAGCTCGGTGTCTCGTACTCTCCTGATACGGATGACGGATCCATATCGACGGCAATTGAATCCAAGCCGCCTGCCAAGCGTGGCATGGACGATGCTTTGCGTCGCAGCATCTTTGGTTCATCTGATGAGTCAGATGAACCATCGCCGAAGCGAAGGCGCTCGAGGTCGCGAGACTCGGGCGCTAGTAGTGGTGTCGGTTCTCCTTTTGACACCACTTCGCAACGAGGTACCAGTACTTCTGTTGGCACGTCGCAAAAAGAGCGGGACCGCAATGTGTTGCGTCTCGCTCCAGAAAAGAAGGCATGGATGCCTCCTAAATCTGTCATGGATCACTTGTCGGCGACGACGAGTGATCGTTATCGAACACGATTGTTCGATTCGTCAAGGATTCATCACCTTGACCCCAGCGCGAAAGACTATCGCGCTGAACATGAGTTCTTCATCGATGCTTTCTTCAGACATCGATGGTACAGTGGGAATCACAAACGTGATGGTCTCTCACTACTTCAGGCGTGGAACGCCTACATCCATAATCTCGAGGATGTAGGTCGTGACGCTTGGGAACGACAAACTTATCAAAGCTCGTGATAAGTTTGAAAAGCGAACCCCGACAGGTGCACGCTACAAGCTGCATCGTCTGTCAAGGGAGAAAGGATTACCCTGCCTTTCTTGGGGAGACTCGTGCCCATGTTGTGTGAACAACTCTGCACGAGCACCTAAGGAGGCTTACCTCCTTACCAGCCCGTGGTGGCGCGTACGTGTCTCTACTGAGATGTACGAAGGGATTGACAACCTGAAATCCCTTTACGACCGTGCCGGGAAGACTTTCTCCGGCGGTCCTTCTGCGGCACAGGATGTGTCGCGTCGTACTGCTCGACCAGACCCAGTACGTCAACCATCAATTGGGAGCGGGGCTCCCAAGAATCCCAGGACGGGGGATAGCCGCGCCACCGGACGAGGTAACTCGTCCGACGTCCGTTCACGTCGCGGTGGTTCAACAGCTGCTCTACTAGATAGCGCTGGCCACCGCGAGAGTCCTCTAATGGAGGTGGAGGAGGAGGAAAGACGCTCTCCACACGATCATGTGGATCGGTGTGTTCCCGAGAGCTTCTTTGATCGCGTAACGCAAGGGTTACGCGACGATCTCGAGCATGAGCGGAATAGGCGTCTCCAGATGGTGGACACTGCCTCGAAGCATCGAGCTGAGTTTGCCTTTGCTCAGCTTGAGAACGAGAGATCTCTGACATCTCTTCGTGACGAGCTAAGGGTAGCTCGTGGGATTGTTGATCGGTCTCGGGCTGAGATAACTGCTCTTCAGACCCTTGTTGATGCCCACCATCGGGAGCACAAGGCTCTCTGCGAGATGCTTGAGCGCAAGGGCGTTCTTCATCGGAAGAAACAGCGTACTGATGGTACGGCTTAAGCCGACCAACGTAAAACGTGGGATGCGTTCGCATCTTACGTGGTAACTCGATCGTGTATGCATTGCCTAGGCGGTGCAATACACGAAATGGGCCAATGTACTTGGGTAGTAGTTTACTGCTACCCAAGTTAGTCACTACATGCTTTGGTAGATTAACCGTAGACAGTAGGACTAAGTCACCTTGATTAAATAAAAGAGTGTTTGCCCTTCCATTCTTGTCAGCGTTTTGCTTTTGCTTATCCACCGCTTCGGCGATGGAGTCTTGCACAAAACGGACTACCGTTTCACGAGCCAGTATGAACTCATCTGATGACTCGTTAGCTTCAGTGTGCTGTGAGCGCACTGCAGCGACAACAACCTTTTCTTCAGTGAGGGCTTCCGCACTCTCACTGGGATCATTGTCTTCAGTGAGGGCTTCCGCACTCTCACAGGCATCATCTTCTTCGATATCGATGTTATCGATATCGGCATCAAACGCAATGACTTCTTCGTCAGAGCGTGATGAGCGTGAACCAAATCGGTTTTTGCTCGCGCGAGTCCCTCCCCCTTAAACCAGAGTTACACTCTAGTAAGGTGGGTACACGCGGATGGCGCAAGCCATTCACGTAAAACGGTGTATGTGTCGTGGACGCATGCACCGAGTTGTTGATGGCAAACTCTACCATCGGCAAAAACTCACTCCAACTCTTAAAGGAGTGTACGTATCCTCGAAGTATCTCTTCAAGGACACGATTGGCACGTTCCGTCTGACCATCTGACTCTGGATGATCAGATGTTGACATCTTCAAGCGCGTTCCGAGTGATTTGAACACGGAACGCCAGAAATCAGCAGTGAATCGTGGATCTCTGTCTGATACGAGTTCACGGGGCAACCCATGAAGTCGGAAGATGGTGTCAATAAAGACACAAGCACAGCCACTTGCCGTGATTGTCTCTGGTACAGCCACAAAGGTGTACCATTTTGCTGAATCTGTCAACAAATACGAGAACACCCGTATTCCCGCGTGCGTCTTTGGGTAACCCGAAGACGAAATCCATTGAGATGGATTCCCAGCACTCAGCCGGAACCGGTAGAGGCTGTAAAGGTGCACGCAGTGAAGGACTTGACTTCACTCGTTGGCAGACTTCGCATGCGCGAACATACTTTCGCACAAACTGATACTGGCGGGGCCAGTAAAAGTCTCGACTTACCGTGAGATATGTTTTCTCTCGGCCACGATGTCCTCCTATAGGAGCATCGTGATACTCGAACATGATCCGCAAACGCAGATCAATATCATCTGGAATGACAACACGTGGTGTGTCACCAGAAACGGCTGTATAGTACAGTAAACCGTTACGAGTAGTGTATCGATCTGATGCAGATCGATACGCAGACGACAATCGTTTCAACGATTCTCGAGATGGTTGGGAGAGATGTGACAACAACTTCACTATCTCACCATCTTGGGCGTATGCCCGCCTCACATCATCATACAACGTTGTAGATGGAACTGAGGACGTCATAACCGCAACAGTGACTGTCTCACTGTTGGGTTTCGCGACTGTTTCAAAGTCGGGACGACGTGAGAGTGCATCAGCGACGACATTAAGTCGTCCTGGTTTGTACTCGACCGTAAAGTTGTATTCTGCAAAGAATGACAACCACCGCGCCATTCGTTGTGAAAGGTGCGGGCTGTTCACTGCCGTGCGTAAGGACGCATGGTCAGTGTAAACAACGAAGGGTCTATCTCCTAATAGATAGACTCTGAACTTCGCGAGTGCATACTTCATGGCAAGGAGTTCCTTGTCATGCACTGGATAGTTCCGCTCAGCTGGTTGCAGCTGACGCGACTGATAGCAGACGACGCGTTCAACGCCTTCAAGGTCGTACTGCATTAATGCACAGCCGATTGCGAAATCGCTGGCATCACAGACCACATGAAATGGCCTGTCCTGATCGGCTATTGCTAGGACTGGGGATTGTATCAAGCTCTGCTTGATACCCTCAAAGGAGCGTTGACATTCAGCGTTCCATAACCACCTCTCGTTCTTTTTCAACAAACGAGAGAGGTGTACAGTCATCTCGGCGTAATTGCGTGAATACTTGTGCAAATACGCCGCTAGCAAGGAAATTTCGAATTCCTTTGACATCAACCGGAACAGGCCAGTCGGTGATCGCCTTGATCTTTTCGGGATCAGGACGTACACCGTTCTTACCAACGATGCACCCAAGAAGTGGTATTTCGCTTGCTGCAAATATACACTTCTTGAGGGTTTGCATACAATTGATGCTTTCGCATGATTGTAAGAACTTGTCGGACGTGGTACTTGTGAACCTCAACGTCCGACTTTCCATCCATAGCTCGACTATGGATGAATACGTCATCGAAATAACTCGGCGCGAATTCTCGTACTGGCCTCAACAGATGTGATACACACCTGTTGAACGTGGCAGGGGGCATTACTGAGCCCTTGTGGCATTACTAGCCATTCCCAGAGCATGCCGCTAGGCGTGCTAACTGCGGTATAGGGTATATCCCGTTCCGCATTAGGATTTGATAGAAGCCATCCATCAAATCCATGGACGAAAAGATGGTACTCTTTGACATACCATCAATGATTACGTCCTTCCTCGGTATCGGCGTCTGAGCCGGTACCGTTGCAGCGTTCAATTTGTTAAACGCGTGCACTATCCGCCACCCTCCTGTTGCTTTTCGCACACAGAAGGTCGGAGAGCTATGTGGGGAAGTTGATTCCCTCACATGGCCCGCTGCTAAACGATCGGCAAAGAACTTGTCGATCGCAAGTACTGTTCACGAGGCAGTGGCCACTGCTTCATGACACAGTACTTCGAGCCTGGTTTAAGTCTCGACTTCGTGTCGAATACCTTTATCCTTCGGTAATTCGCACGGAACAGTTTCAGGGAATACACCCTTGAATTCAACCAAATCTTCATAGAGAGGATTTTCCTTGAGCGATTCCCATGATTGGGACTCATATCGCTCAATTCGTGTCTTTTCATCTAGGACACTCTCGTCCATAGATGAACTACTGAGAACTCTCTCGTTCTCAGTAAACACTGTTGCTGACCTTATGTCGGCTACATACTCGTCGTCAGCGACGAGTATGCAGATCTGCTTGACTTTGCCACTACGCAGATCACGCAAGAACCTTTTATGTTCGAGCGTTGGCAACTGAGTGATCTCCGAAGTTAACTTCGGAGGCGCAATCAGATCAAGTGTATAAGCGCCTACACATGATCCGTTATTGACTATGACATTCAATGTCTCTGTCATTTCCTGGGGACTTATTCCCTCAGGCTTCGAAGGACTTATTCCTTCGTCTTCCCGGGGACTTATTCCCCGCGGGTTTCGGGGAACTTATTTCCGCCGTATTTGTAATCTTGGGACTTATTCCCTTTACTTCCTCTAGCTGGGGTTGCGCAACACAGCGAGATCCTCTACGAAAGACTCTCCAGTCGATCTAGGATTATCGTTTCGCTTAACCTGAGCGATCGATTGTTTCTCTTCTAGATGTTCCCCTCTAGGGATACATCTTTGTCCCAGTCCACCCGACTTATTCGAGTGGTGGACCTTCGGCGCAGCCTGTGTTTCCTCACAGCCGCCGGAACTTTGCTCCGAAGTGTAACCGTTTGGTACACTAAGGTTTTGTGCAGTCGTACTAACGACCGTACCACAAGTGAGGCCATCGCACTCACTCGTAGTACATCCACACGCTTGTGGACGCTCCAAAACGTTCATCAGATGGCCATCTGATGAACAAGCGGCAGGCATCGTTACTGTCCGATGTTGCCAGTTTACCCGTGGTTCGTACCTTCTGAGCCACGGTATTCCAAGGATGACATCAAATTTGTCATCCAAATCCAATACGATAAAGTCATCGTCATATTGGGTATCTTCTAGCGTATAGTGAATCTTCACTATACGCTTCATGACGGTTACGGATGCGCCTGTCGCAAGACGTACCGTCATCCTCGTAGGAGGTGTGTCACATTCACTGAATTTAAAGTGACCATCTTCTAGCGATTGGCGTCGCACAAAATTGTTGGACGCCCCACAATCGACTAGAGCTCGAAGGGACAACTTATTCGTCACTTCGAGTTTCAAGGTAATGAGTGAGACCTCATTACCTAGAGCAGCAACGCACAATGTCTGTGTGTTGGGGAGCAACCTTCATCAAGAGGCCTACAAATTCTCTTGACGTTGCTGGATCAGTAGGGTGCTCCGCACCTACTGATCCTGTCCGTTTTTTGACGGTCCATCCCGTTGTTGCGTCTTTGCACCAACTGCGGACCCTCGTCCCTGCCCCTTTCTCATGGGTGGACGGTCACTACGCCCAGTGTCGCGAGACACTGGACGAGGGGCACTACACTCGTAAGCGTAGTGTCCTGTCTTTTGACATCTGTTGCATCTCTGCAACTTCTTGTAGCCTGTAGAGCGAGCCTTCTCGCTCTCTACATAGCAGAGTTCCATCGGCTCTGGACCTCCGTTGTCATATCGTCTCGGTTGACGATATGATGTCGAGCTGGCGCGAGCCTGTCTCAGACTGAAGTCTTCCTGCTCCGCAATTGAAATGGCTTGTTCTAGTGAATCTAGTTCAAGCCGGAACAGGTGAGTCTTGACGGGACCATCCGCAAGACCCTGCATGAACACCGAAACCAACGTGTGTTCATCCACCGGATTGGAACTTATACAACTCGTGAGATGTCGTATATGTTGAGCGTAAGCGTGCACATCACGCTTACCCTGCTTGAGCTTCAAGAGTTCGGTTCGAGCTCTGAACTCAGCTCTAGGCGGTTCAAACGTTTGTCTGAGCCGCGACTTGAAGACTTCCAACGACCCAAACGCGTATGGGTCGTGCAGCTTGAGCCCCAGTGCCCAAGTCTTGGCACGTCCTGCCAGATTTGACTGGGCAAATGCAACTTGCATATCCCCGTCGTCGATGCGACGCGCCCTTATGGCGTCATCCAATTCGACGAACCATCTCAAGAGGGAGTC